CATGCCCAGCATCATATAAGTTTCTAAAACGTTCACAGAATAAATATTTATCTGAACCTTTCTGCCACCTTCACTGCTACATCTTTATTGGTTAATTTCCTCAGTTGGATTATTAGCTTTGTATTTTCGAATTTCAGTCAGACTCACAAATGCATAAACAATTAAAATTGTTTATGGATGTCCCAATCAATAATTCCTCCATCTTTCTCCAGGATACTTCTAATAATGCTTTATATGTACTTAAACAATACTATCATTTCATCTTTGACTTGGGAGAGTAGTTCCTTTGTTCCGAAAATATAATAAGTAATAGATACACTCATATAATCTGTTGGAAACGTTTACATCGTTTTTTTCTACTTAACTAAGAAGACAGTAAAGATCACTGGCAATGAAAAAAGTGGACGATACTAGTGTCATACAATCAACTACTTTCAATAAATCTGATTTCCCAGGTGAGTATAAATGATATTGATTTAGATATTGTTTTAGTGCTATACTATAGTAGTATTTATAGTAATTTTCCTAGATTAATTTTTTCAGCACGCCTTGGTGTTTCGATTATATGGGGTAACTAGGTTGGTATCCAGTGTACTGCCTCTAACAATTCCATACGACATACTTGTTTTTTCCATGGTTATTTAATGAAATATCATTCAGTCACCTATCTTTAACTTGATAATGCTGATTTTAAGGGTGGACTTTATGCACACCCATCAATCAGTCATTTCCTTATAAGTAAAAATCTAAAATCAGGAAAATGTAAACAGATTAAAATAGTAAAGCTTTCTACTTCATCATCGGGGTGGTTCAAGAAATGTTTTTTTTCCAGTTCTGATAACATATTGAGATAAAAATTTGTAGTTTTCTCCCGTTTATTGTATATCACTAAATGAGAGTTTAATCCAACAGATAGTGCATTTATTATGGATAATTACAGAAACAGCGTTCAAATCAAGCATCACTGTAGGATTTTTATGGTATTGTATTAGCCTGGCTTCGAGAAAATTCCTTATGTTATCATACAAATCCCAACTATGTAAGAATTCGGAAGGCAACAAGAAGCGGCGACTGCAGTTTATTATTGAATAGCACAGATAACAAAGTTATGAGCACATCGAGCGAATCGGAGTAGAGAGGCTGTGTACGAGTGAGCGAATACAGAGGCTGATTTATGAGCAAATCGAATCCAGGTGGAGCAAGGCAAAGCGAAAGCAACTAATAAGATTCAAATATATATATGGGAAGGAGAACGATTCGACGAGCGATATTTAAGCGATTAACATTTCAGATAGAATGAGGAATATGTGCGTAGGCTGTCACATGTGACCAAGCATACACGTTCATACAGACAAGATGGTGATCATAATACAAAGAAATAGACGTTTTGTTACTGTTCGAATAACACTGTCAACAAAAGGGCTCGAAAAAAGTAACTGCAAACGAAATTGATTGTAGAAGAGTTGCTATGGTTTAACGATCGTAAATTCAAGCTTTACCAACATAAATATGATTGGACTGGTTGGAGTTATGCATTAACACCGTTGGACAGCAGCTCAGTGGTTTATAGGTTAAGCGTTCGCGCACCGGACTGTAGGTGCTCATTGCTGACGGGTCCCATGCTAGGACGAAATGTCCGTCCAGTGACTCCAGGTTTCCAATGGTGGTCTAACATTGATCCATTCATGATATCAATCTAAAATATTACTCTTTAGTAAGTTATTACAGGTTTATGCTCTCCATCGTAAGATTGAATAACACCACTGATCCAAACAAATATCGTTGTATAGAACAGACTTTCATTCTGTCATCGATTAGTTTAGTCAAATGGTAATCACAACTTCGCATAAATTTTATCATTTATTTGCTATACCATACTCGTGCTGTTAGCAAACATAGCATTATGGTCACTCTTACATAAATTATAGTGTTTATCTATATCGCAAATCATTACTAGTGGGGGATGTTTTTTAGATCGTAAAGTACTCGTTCTCAACATAACAACTTATGATACGCATGTTTTCTGATGTGGTGGTGCATGTAACTACATCGTGTCCAGTTGTGATAGAAATGGTCACACAATATCGTGGGTGGATTGAATTTAGACATTAACACCGTTGGATACTGACACAGTAGTCTAGAGGTTAAGCGTTCGTTCATATGACCGAAGGTGTTGGGTTCAATTCCCACTTGCGGGATCGTGAATGGTCACTGCTAAGGTGTCTGGTATTAGGACGAGACGGTCCTTTAAGTCTTCCAGGTTTTCATTAATGGCTTAACATGGATAAGTTCAAGATTTTAATAAATCTCAACAATTTTTACAATTCTATACTGATAGCTTAAATCATTTGAAATTGAAATCATAAGTCAATCGAAGCTAGACCACCATGGAAAACTGTTGGGTGTTGGAACAGTAATCTAATGGTTAGGCGCTCGCCCGCGAGACCGATAGGTCCTGGGTTCGAACCTCGCGGGGGGATCGGGGATGCGCACTGCTGAGGAGTCCCATACTAGGACAAAACAGCCGTCCAGTGCTTCCAGGTTTTCCATGGTGATCTAGCTTCATTGACTCATGATTTCAACTATTGAAACTTCTTATATTAGTTAAAATCCTGTTGTCTACCAATTAACTGATTAAATCATGTGAATTATTAGCTGTTTTTTGTTAAAAAAAAAAGTGAATTTTAAAGTTCATTATTACAATGAAATGTTACTATAATTTTGATTAAAATAGGTCATTCTTATATGTAAAGTAGTAATGGGTAATACAAGTATTTTGGAATTTGATGTGAAAAACCTTGTAAATTTTTCATTGACTGACAACCAAAACATAATTTCAAAAGTTAAATATTCTTAATAGGAGACTGGAAATGTAAATCAGAACATGCCATCGATCAATTAATAATTGATCAATCCTTTCATCTAAATATCCATACTATCATACATGACTTTTCATGTTGCTATATATACTCTCTAATAAAGGGGAATTGGGTAGGATCGTGTACATTTCTTATAGAATAGACAGTGTAGATTTCATTTACACTACTAAAAATGCTTATTGATATCAACCATTATTAGGGAAATACTATTTGGTTAACTAATACCCTCGTATCTTTAGTATACAGTGACTTGACATTTATGCATATCCACTCCTCAATACGCGTTATGTTTGTAACGTCGACAATGCTGAAGTCTATAGAATAGTTGGTGTCCATCTAAATAATGCTTATCATATTTAAACAATATCGCTGTTACAATGACATTCTCAACTTAGAACCTCAGAAATGAGGTTTTAACATGCTGGAAGTTTCACTTTTGAATTATGTTAGAGCCAAATCTTCTTAAGTATTATTACCAAGTTTAGACTTGATAATTTCAAATAAATTGGACATTGGATAGAATGGTAATAACAAAATAATGATATGTTTATTATATCCTAATGATTAGAAGTTAGAATATCCGACGTTTCGTAACTGAGCGTAAGTTACTTCTTCAGAGTAAATCAATAACCGAACTAAATTAACATAAGTGTAATTAGTATAGCGGAATAGGTAGTATATTTAGTTCACTCAGAGTCAAAATAAAAATAGACCTGGTTATTTCAATATCCTCTCATGTTTGGCAAGTTAATATTACTTGGGTCTCAGCTACTCACCTTTATAATTGGAAAAACCTTCCCAAGTTATTTCGATATTTTTAATGTCCATTTGGTTGTTGAAAATGATATGTACTGCTATTGGTGACTTGATTAGTAGGTTTTCCAGCCCTAAATTTTGTAATAATCAACCGTGGTCGCCTTATAGCACACCTCATCGTAGGTTAGAATTAAGACAAGGTATGAAAGTTCCTTACTCAATTTAGAGTTATTAATATGTAAACTGTGTTAACAAGCTCTATATTTTTTGAGTTTATTCTTATTGGTTGTCCGATGTATCAATTATTGATTTCTTTTTTTATTCTCAAGCTGAAAATGATGTGAACTGTAATCCTAATCCATCCTCGAGTTTAAAGAGAACCGCTTGTCAAGCTGGGTCTTCTGAAGATAACGATGATCCAGAATATGCTCGGAAAGTAATAGTTCTGGGACCTGAGGTATGTTTACTTCTAGGTACTACAGTTTCTAAATTGAATATTTAAACTTCTTTCTGGTGGTTATTTATGACTCCCATACTAAAAATGTAGTCCATATTCTGATCATAGATTCAAGTTAGTACGTGTGATTAAGAACTGATATTGGTCAATATCAAGAAATGGTTGATTTACAGTGTTGAATTAACTTTTCTGCAATTTATTCATTTTTCATTTATCTCACTGATACTATTTTTGATTGCAGCACTGAACAATTAGGGGTTAAAATCTTACTTCAAGTTCACCATACTAAAATCGATTGTTTGATAGCTAGTACGAAAATATGTAGCTTCTTACCAACTTTAGATCTCTCACTAATCAGAATCATTTTAAGATAATTAAGTTTCTGTTGTTTGTTGAACCTGTTTAATTTTTTGTTTCATTGTTTATAGGTATCTAGTGTTCAACAGAATAGTGAAATAAAATTGCCTGAAACAATTCAGAACACTATATCTGGACCGACTGTCCCATCCACCTCTTCAATCTTGAATACAACAACCAAAGCTGTAGTACCTAACACAATCAGTTCAACTAATAATATCAAACCAATTGGAACAAACTTACAAAATAATTATGGATCTTCTCCTAGTGTTTCTGTGCATCAATCAAGGCAGCAACAACAAACATCAGAAAAGACATCGGTGACTACTACACCTAGAACTAGTACACGTAGACTTCATGTTTCGAATATTCCTTTTCGGTTTCGAGAAGCTGATTTACGGTCTTTATTAGGTGTAAGTCTAATCTGATTGACATGTTATTTTGTCTCAGTATAGAATCTTGTGGAAAGTTGCGAGATAGTGATTTATGTCTAATAATGTATGGTATTAAGACGATAAAAACTCATTTAAAAAGTGGAGTTTAATCATAATTGAACTTCGATCATTTGAGGTTCTAAGTTTCGATACCAACTTAGTAATTTAGATTCAGATCAGGGAACTCAACAATAATCAAAAAATAGTTATGGAATAAAATGTAATTGAAAGAAACAGAAAGATATGTTGGCTAATTGATAATAGGATAAATTGAAGTTGACTGATGAAATATTCGGAACAAAATAAAGTTTTGTCGCATCTGTATCACTGAGTTCGATTCTGATCTATATCACTGTTAAGTTTTCAGTTATCCTCGTGACTTACTCTATCTTGACTACACACCAACATAATTACGAAAATACAATATCGACACAACTACTTCATAAGTTTGAGAGTACTGATTAATAGGTCCATAATAAATTAACCATAACTTAAGCGGGTACAAATCATAACAACATCACAAAAGTTGTACTGGCAGGTGGTATGTTTGAAGAGATTACGAGTTCATCTAAGTCTGCGAACGACATGAAGACTCATCGACACAACGACCAAATAAGCTAACTATTCTGATGCATCCCAGCCCCGATAACTAGAGAGAGAAGTTCAGGTTCAGAAGAGGGAGAATGTATCCCTCAAGCAGTCAGAAGCATGAACAACAACAAGCACAACTCAAGAGTATATATACAGCATAACAATGTTTTTAAGAAACTTTACAAAATAGTATATTAAAAGAAACAACGAACCAATGACATTTGAGGTCCTCCTAAGTGGGAAATACGATATAAAGGTGAAAATGGACACTTTTGGCGCGAAAACAAGAAATCCAAATTTCCAAAATAAGACATTTACTAAATGAGTTCTGCGGATCTCTAGAGGTACTGTAATTCAAGCACTTGATAATTATTAGACAAAAATATAAATAATAACTTCAGTCATGTGGGATGTTTCCAAAGGTTCAGCTGAAGCTACCTTAGATAGTCATGGGCTCAATTTGCTGAAACCCAACTTTATAGTAACCAAGATAGAAATTTTGAGACAAGAAGTGCAATGTTAAAAGATTTAAATGTTTTTTGTTCGCTTCTTTTAATTCAATCTTGAGATACACACTTCACAGTGTATGAAGTGTATGAAATGGGTTAGTTGTTATTCTGAAGATCATATTCCGTTATTTGTTAACTCACATTCTATTTAGGACAGTTTAGTATATAATTAATGTTAAGTCAAGTAATTACAGTGTTTATTATCATTCGTGTCTAGTACACGAATGAAATATTCACCGAAACCAATTCTACATTGTCATAAGACATCATGTTAATAAACTTTTTTTCTTATTACAAAGCCTTTCGGTCCGATATTGGATGTTGAAATAATTTTCAATGAAAGAGGTTCTAAAGTAAGTGTAGCATTTTCATCCATTTGTATCTATTATCTATCGATACTTATAAATACCAACCGTCACAATTATTCTCATTAGTTTACCGGTTGATCAGCAAACTTTCGATTATAAGATACGTACTGCTGAGGGAGAAATGATCAAGCAAAGTAGAGTTGTCTTACGTTCTTTTGTATTTTCAGTGATTATTCTTTTCTATAGTTTGTAATGAATCTGTCATAGACTAACCTGAGATCAGTTTTTCTTTTATCCATTGAGGTGGAAGTTTACGTAGACATTTGTAAAGTAGTTTGGTTTCTAACGTCTTCGTGATCAGCTAATTCATTTATTATATATATATTCTCTTGCAAAATGTAGCAGTATTCTAAAATTTGATAACTGATTAACATTCTCATGGATAGATTGAACATAGGAAATTCACCCACGTTAATGGATGCGGACAATCTCAGATAGCTGATTCAAATTTCTAAGTTCAGTTCACCAGAATACTACATAGGATTCTGAATCGTTTCTATCAGAACCTTAGCATTTGCGCCATTTAATATTCAGTTAACATATTCAAACATACTTGATCTACCAGCTAATAAGAAGAATAATACTCAACTCCAAAGTTAGGGAGAGAGATTATCCAAATATATGCCTCAACGGTGACACCGCAATTACTAGTATCACCCAATCATTTCCTATCTTGACAGAGCAGTGTGTTAGACACCTGTGGAAATATTTCTTCTTGACTTTTATCCTGAATTCGCTTCAAAAGATATAAAAGCCTTCATGGATAAACCATGGAGATAAGAAAAGTGAGATGTTAAGAAAGAACCTTAACTGAGTCGCCCCGATTTCGATAACGATATTTGCAGATGGTATTCATCACTCATTCATCCTTTCTCAGTTTTTATTCAAATCAGGGAGAACAGGAAAACTGTTTCGTCTGGTTTTCCCAAATGGAAATAATCTTCACAAAATAACTTCGTTCAAACGATAATATTTATGGTTTTATGGTTACGTATGTCATATAATTATTATTTCAATACCTTTTTACTTTAAGGGTTTTGGGTTTGTTACATTCATGAATGCAGCTGATGCAGAGAAAGCACGCGAAAATCTTAATGGGCATGTCGTAATGGGTCGGAAAATAGAGGTAAAGACTTTTTACCGGTAGCAACATGTTTCGTACTCTTTATCGTTGTTTTTGGCGCATTTCTTTTTTATAACGAAAGATTGAGGCCCAGTGAACTGGGGAAAGATTAGTGACTTTGTAAGTTCAAGTTGACCTCGGTGGGTTTTCATCAGGGCAGTCATGCTTCTCCACTAATCGGGACGTGAAAACTCCAACGTAAAGTAGAGTTATGGTTAATGGTTGTAGTTTGTTTTTTGAGAGGTTCTCTATTAACCACTGACTATGGCACACGCACATTGGTTGGCTTCTGACGATAATGTTTCGTTTTAAATATATGCTACTTATAAGTAGTTCGGAAATATTGTCAGTAATTTTTAAACATCCGGTGAGATCTTGACCTTGGTGGCGTGTCACCTTACTATGAAAAAGGGCCAGTGTATGTATAGGCATACAAGATAGGTAAAATCTTGACATTTATGTTAAATGTTTTTATTTTCAGTGGTAAATTTAAAGATCTATTTCAATGCAAGCCATACTACTCTGTTTAGGGTCAAATGTGTTAAACAGAAATCAGATAGTATATTCATAGTCAGATATTGTGAACTGGGTTAGAAGTGAGGGCTGATTAGTTTCATAATATGCAGTATTCCTATCAGAAGAATCATGAGCTCCTTAATGTAGCTTGTGAATAAAAACGCTTCCATCCTCTATTAATCTAATCATTTAAAATATTCTTACATACTCTCTTATAAGGTTCCTCTTCACTTATACTCTTCCATTTTCATCCTATGTTCAATGTTTAAACTTCAATAAAATTCGATTAATGCATTAGAATAAATAGTAATTAAGTGGTGTTTCAGGATGTAAAAGTGCCCTACCGGTGATTTGTTTGGGTTTTTATCAAGCTGCATGAATGGAAGTGTTCTTCAAATGTCTCTGAGACGTTAACTTTCTGGACATAAAAAGACGGTTAAGAAAAAAACAGCAAGCCTCATGTGACTTTTTATGTAAGGATTATCATGGAGACATCCTCATTCCACACACTAGTTTCAGCGACACTAGCTTATGATTACATCCATCTAAATGTATAAATGATGGGAGAATCGGGATTTATGAAGTTATTTGTTTGTTAACTGGTGAAGAGAAAGTTAGGACCTGATAATTCGGTTCGTGTACGGACCTGAAAATATCATCAGAAATAAAATTGGTAAAACTGGGTGAAAAATAGCGTAACAATAAAGTATATGGGTAAGAGATGTTTCAACGAAAGCAAATCATATAAAATACGCCTGACGGATTGGTTAACTATTTCCATATGTGTATTATTCAACTGCCTTCACATAATAATGGTAATAGTAACAATAGTAGTAGTAATAATAATGGTGGAATGTCCTAAATATTTCATAAATTATTGGGAATTGTCAGTGGCAGTTATACATTTCTACTTAGTCATGTTTAATTCTCTCACATATATGTTGATTTTCTATGATGAGTCGCTTTGTCTTAATATACTAGTCATTTCAAGAACAATATGATTAAAATAATATGGCAAACTGGTTCCCAGTCATGTCGTTTAATATCTGATACAGATTTATATTTTTTCCATGGACTATAAACAGTTAGGTTCATGTTAGGTTCATTATAAAAAGTCGATTTTGTTCCCTGTCTTAGTTTGGGTACCCATAAAACTTTTTCTAGCCTACTTTTACTCTATGTTTCCTGTTGAAGAGTGTGCAAATTAACCCTACAAGACATAGTTTCCAACACGTGATGTCATCTAGTTTCATCAACAAACTTTTAAAGACGTCACGAGTGATGTAACTGTCTAGATAAGTAAGACGTTTAATACGGTTTTTGACATATAGTCAACTTTGATTATTTACTAGATTCTCAGAAATGTTTCTGAAGTCTATCCAATTTCAAAAACTGCATGCCTTTGAACTTTATCTATTTGTAATTTTCTAAGCTCCTTCACTGAGAATTTAAATCTACTTTGCTAAGTAAGCTTGAACTGTAAATGTAGAATACATCTTATGGACATGATTTCATATGATTTTTTCTATACTATATTCTTGGTAACGTAAAGTTTCAACTTTTCGCTATTAATCTCATTCTATCACTTAGTAATTGGAACATAATATAACTTTGAGTCTCAACAATTAAGTAATTTGTACTCATAAATCTTTCATCTAATTAATTACATAACCACCCCAGTTTTCTAATGGGGTTATTTCATAACTAAATTTTCTCCCTATCACTACAATACGAATGTTATGTTAAATTAAAACAGTATCTCATCAGTTTTCAGTCTATTTTACACTTAATCAACTATGTTGAAGTCCCTTCATCCAGTTTATTCATACACCAGTAATATATGAGAATAGTTGTATTTGCCAAGGTCAATTACATGCAGAAGGCTATCAGGTTTTTGGGACTGATGCATATATATATATGAATAGTTCGACAGTGTATATTAATTAATTTGGGTTGCAAACTTCCGTTCAAAGTGATGAAACTAGGAATACTGTTCATTGTACAGTACTGACAAGGGTGAAAACGATTAATTCACTATGGGGGGGAGGCAAATGAAAAATGCACACTAACCGGTGAAAAATTGTTTATCATATATACTGTATAAAAACCCCAAGCATATTAAAACAGAGTTATAGACGAAAAATATTATTTCCGATAAATTATCCTTAGACCCTACAGTTACTAATGTAAATTAATGATTCAAAAATATAGTGAGGTTTAAGGCAAATATATCTTCTAAAATTACAGCATGAATTCATGATATTTCTTACCTAATTCATAATATTTTATACTGTACAAAACCATGGACCGAATATCTTATTTTTATTATTTATTTATTTTAACACATATTGGTACAAGGAGGCACCAAATACATATGCGACACACAAATCTCATTCGATATGTGTGAGGGCTGTGATACTGCCCAGGTGCCCGAACCGAAGCAGGTGGTTTTCTTAATGGGCCACACCCCGAGCCTTCGACCTGAAGGTCTGATCTACAAGGCAGTGGAGCATCGTAAGGAGATGCAATCCCATGGTAGCCGGTGACCAACGATTGTTTCATACGCCATTTGTTCCCGCAGGATACTGGAGCCCATGTGCACCATCAGTTTGGAATCCGGTTAAAGCTCTGGACATTCTCTTTTCGTCCTCTCGATTTCGTAAACAACAGTAATGCCACGAGAAGACAGTGAGTAGGACTTCCCTGGCGGAGGCTATATACGCGTGGCCATGTGAGGGCATTTCGAGAGGGGGAACGGACTCTCCCCACTCTCGGCCGTACCAGGGCATTTGGGGGCGGACCGAATATCTGGCTACTTCTCTCACTCAATTTTATGTATATTTATTCTGATTATTAGTTTCATTATTTCAATTCACGTACAAACGTATTCAAACATTAGGATAATAATCTATTAGTCATTTGAACATTAACAATTTTAATAGTTGAAATCACAAACTAATCCTAGCTTATTCACCATTGAAGAAAACTGTGTACAAATTCTCCCTAATTAACAATTTTGTTTTATTTTACAAACATTTCTGAGTTCATATGCTATGATTTTAAACGGTACGTTTACCATTCGATTTGAGCACTTTCTTAGAGTCATTAATTTGGTTTTGTAGGTGTAGAATTTAAGTTTAATTTATTCCTTCATGTATTTGTATTTAATTCATAGTCAATCAAGAAAATACCAGAAATCAATCATGCCATAAAATTCCAGTTGCTCATAAGTAATATAGTTAGACCATAGAAATCTTATAAGGATTTCTTTTGAATTATAGTTGGGGTGGCCCTATATATGTCTAAACTAGTTTACCAGTTGTTAAGGATCAACATATCTCGGAAATTTCTTCGTTTATGCTAGTCAGTGTTAGAAGTACGCATATCAGTTCCTTGTTTTCTATTAAGTCTAAATCAAACATCCTTTACATTCATGAATGATTTGATATTTACTCCTTCATAATGAAACGATTCCTAGGACGAGAATCGTTGGCATAATTGTTCTTTTTTGTTGATAATATTGAGTTATCAGTTGTAATAATTATGTTAATATTGTCATTTTCTGTATTTAATAAAATGTTCACACTATCCATTCCAAATGGTTTATCTTTTTCATGGTTTTTCAGGGACATGCCTAATTACAATCATGTTCTTATATCTGGCATGTTAACGTAATAACACATTCATATCACAAAAAAGTACTTTGCTATGCACTTTAGGCCTGAAGGTGATTTATATGTTCTTTGAGATTTTGCATGTTTGTATGGATATGTATGACTGACAACTGCATTTCTGAATGACTTGTCTTATTTTATGTATTAGTTTAGGTAATCATTTGCTTAACACAATAATTCTGTGAAAATCATAAAATGATGTTCTCATTAAACTGTTGGAATTGTTCTCTCTTTCCACTCATTTGGATCGCATGCGCTACAATTTAATATATTGCTTTAATAGTTCTAATGTTATTCTTTCCTTGAAATAGAAGACAATGAAATCTATTAATGAAAAAATTCGATCTTTTGTCAGGAGTTCAACAACTTATGTATTACATAATGATATAATCTATAATCACTTGATAGTAATTTGCTTGTTTCATGGACACCTGACTTAAATCTTGCTTGGAAGTTGATTTCTTCAGCCGCATCCTAGTATGAATCATCCACATACTGATTCAAAGTAAAAAAATTGTGTTGAATATACAATACATAACGAGCCTGTTCCCTTCTTCTCGCATGTCTACTTGATAACTGAGCATAGTTTGGGAGGTTCCTTTTTATTTTCACATACTTTAAATATACTTTCTGTCTTTTTGGTGTGTTTTCCTATTTGTTTCGGTTGTCTGCATGGAATGCTGCATAGGCATTGTATGTGTTTCGCCTTGTCTATCCGCCTTACCTTAATCCCTTCCACATACACTGATATTGACACATTTAATATACTCTAATTTTCTGTTTCACTCACTACATTACTGATTAGTAATATATTTTGCTTATTCGCTTGCTCACTAATCGTCAGTCTAAAACAAATACTACAACTACTCAGCCTATTCATTCCTTGTCATCAATAATTGAAAGAATATTCTGTTCATTTGTCTTCACATTTCTTTTTTTGTCTGCCTATATGTATCCTGTAAGAAGCACATTCTACTTGAGTGCACTTAATGTGTCTGGCTTGATAATATTCATATATGCCCATACTTATTCATTCTTATATCCCAAATATAAGTAATCTTTTGTTCAGTTACCTGGTTTTATTTCTATTGTATGCATTTGAACAACTTAATGTTTCGGCAGTTTTAACCGATGAAGAGTTTTGTTTTACATATGGAATCTATAGTGGGTAAGTTGATTTGTTGTAGTTGACCGCTTCAGATTTTAGGATAAAACTAATGTTAAGCTATCATATTCGTGTGAGCATGCCAACTTGGAAATTCCTCAACTAGTTTCTTTGTTCTTAAATACCACATTCATACTTCGTCTTTGATTTCTTATCTGCATTCAAAATAGTAACCTTATTAGGAGCGCATGCGTTGTATAGAAACCTGCATCATATAAAATATATTAATTTGGTATGCACTATTCTGCAAAATTTCAATCTTAGTTTTTCTTGTTTGAATCCTACTCATCTGTTACTTCTCTTTTGGCAGACAGGTAATGACAATTCTTTTAGCTGAAAAAATCCGGTTGCAAATTATTGATTCTACCAATTGAAGTTGTTATAATACCTATTAATAATTAATTGCTCCGAATGGGCAGCAATTGATGATTACTTTCCCATCATATCTAATATCCAAATGAGTACTTATCTGTTTGTGCAAACTACAACTATTTATACATACTTTGTGACCGATGTAAAGCCACAGTAGATAAATAGCTGAATAATCTACGCTAATTGGTCTTACAACAAGATAAACTATTCAGTAGAATTATTCCGACCATACAGCTGCTTGACCTATAATATAAAGTAGAAAAAATTTCATTTCATCGTTCAATAGTCTAAAATGTTCGATATATGATTAATCGACCATCTGTTGAGTATGTTGGGCAAATCTGTGTTCGAATCATCATTGTCTTCAAAGGATTGCTAGTATTCAGAGGCAACGCCTTGTTGAGAATATAGAGGTATCTTTGGGTACAGTAATGATAATTGAATTAATGTAACTATCTTGAAACTCCAACTTTGGTGGCTTGAACATGTGCTATGATTTCCACATTGTACCTTATTTGTCTGGTACTTGTTGGAGATAGTGTATGCGTGGTTATTTTACGATGTAGTGACGAGGTATAAAAGAAATCTGTACAAGAATGGAATTTATCTTCCCTTCACCTCTTTTTGGTTGTGGTTCGAGAAATGTGGAAGTTTAGTGACTTGAAATATCAGACTAAACTTATTACCGATCTTGCTACAATTCTTCTCAGCTGAACTATTTCTTTAGTTACATAACGCTCTCGTTCAATTATTTTTATTCATTTGTTATTTTTAATTGTACTTATCCTTTTTGCTTTATCTCTTCACAATTTCATTTTCTTATTGCGTGGCGTATGTTTATTTTGGTTAATTTATTCTTTTACTATGTCCTGATGATACACATTATGACTGAATAATTATTGGTATATCTTTTTACCATTCAATAATAAACCGTCGGTTAATTTTAAATATATCAGAGTTATGTATTCTAGTTGAAACTTATCATCTGTTTTGAGTCATGATATTAAGTATACTTATTTGATGCATTCTATGAAATTTAGATATAAAGAAACTTGTGACTATCCTCAGCTTTCCTCTTCTTTATTATACTGAGATCTTAAGATTCAATGGATATAAGTTAAAGAATTATATTTACTGATATACCGGACATAAAAGTTTGATCATCAGTAAAAATAAGATTTTCATGATATGAAGATGCCTTAGACATACACTCTACTCGCTAATTTAATCTCTCATATAATTTGGGCTCTGAAGCATGATAATCAAAAGTGATTTATTTCGTATTTTAAATTAAGTTTCATTTTATTTTCCATTCTTAAATGATTCCTTTAACAAAATATATAATTAATATCAGATGAGTTTTGTGGATATTATAGTAATTTCAATGGTTAAGATCATGAGTCAGTTGAAGCTAGACCACCATGGAAAACCTGGAAGCACTGGACGACCGTTTTGTTCTATTGTGGGACTCCTCAGCAGTGCGCATCCACGACCTCGCCCCCTGCGAGATTCGAGCCCAGGACCTACTGGTTTCATGATCTTAACCGTTGAAATTACTATAATATCCACAAAATTCATCTGATATTTGTCAACAGATGCTCACTAGTGACTGGCTTCACGAGGTATATCCTGGGGTTCTAGTGAGAAGTAGTGACCAGTGGAGTTCAACCAGGTCTGTTGTGACATAGTAGCTCACTGAAGGCAATGGTGGATGTGTCGCTCAGTTTCGTGGATTAGTTGAACTTAGACATTAACACCATTGGATGCCGGCTCAGTGGTTTGATGGTTAAGTGCTCGCACACGAAATCAGTAGGTCCTGGGTTCGAATCTCGCAGAGGGCGAGGTCATGGATGCGCACTGCTGAGGAGTCCGACGATAGGACAAAACGGCCGTCCAGTGCTTTCGGGTTTTCCATGGTGGTCTAGCTTCAACTGACTCACGATCTTAACCATTGGAAATATATGATTATCAACAATTTTCTGTCTTGGTTGAATTTGTAACTGTAGTAAAATAATAGTACCGGATATATTTGTGTGTGTGTATTTGTTGCAATCATTATTTTATCCTTTGAGGAGAGTTTTAGGGACAGTAAGCGGTTGCAAAATTTACCTACAACTATTTCATTTTTATATCTGTTACTTATTTTTAAATGATATTTTCATTATAAAAAAAAGTTGTTTAAAATAAAGCATTCACAGATCATGCCAACTCTGTTTAGTTGTATTAATCATCATTAAATTTGCATGAATGGAGTAATGTTTAAGCAACTGTGATCACAATATGTTTTACTGAACAATTCTGAGTATTCTCTACATGGAGGAAAACCTACCCAGGAAATTATACAATCTAAGCTTCAATCTCTTTGTTATTAAAATGTATCTGTAATCTAAAGGGGACTGATGTTCTTTCTTGTAGGATTAACACTGGTCACATTTAGACTAATATGATCACATTGTAATTTGATTAGCAGGAATCAAACAGTATTTATAACTAGACAGGATAATATTACTTACAATTAAAAATAATTGATTAGTGTAAACTGAGAAAGTGTGGGTAAACAGTGTTGCCAAGGTTGTTTTTTTTAAAGTTACCCATCTAACCGTACAAAATTTATGTCTGTCGGTGGTTAATAGTTGGTGATTTATAATTTTTAGCAAAATATCATCTCATTCTAAATAATTTTATGTTTTTTCTTGTGTGTTTCACTTAAAGCATGTACAGGTTTATTATTTCAATTTCATTGTGATCACTGATTTTTTTTGGGTGGGGTGGGGAACTTTCATTTTGTTGAGTCTAACTGGATGAAACGATTGTTTTGCAAGCACTATTCAACTACATAGTTATGTGATGTCAGCTACACTGTCTCATTGTTTTTTTTCTTCTTTCAACTGATTACGATTTTCATGACAACTACATTAATAAAGCGGTAAATCTTGATACTGTGTGTAGAAACGGGATGTTTTTATCGTACGGGCTATACTATAATAAATTTATTTCATCTTATCCACTGAGGATTGTTATCATAAATATTTTACTCATTTTCAGATGGAGATCGTCCAAATCTGATCGATTTGATGTTTGTTTGTCTTTTTACAAACTGATAACAATTGGCTAATCATTAGGTAATAAACACTTAGTAGAGGCTCAAATCTTTGTAGTTGAATTTCCGAAACCGTGCTTTAGCCTGTAGTGAATATGATACAGATGCATTCTTGACCTCAAGGTCATTATTGGTAATAGACCACTTCTCTGATACTCATGTACAGAGCAAGACAAAAGGAAAGTATTTGTAAAGGAGCTTCTAGTATCTTGAGAAAAAGAATCGTATGGAAATGACTATTGATTTTGTATCGTTCAACTGACCTTGAGAAAGATAGTAAAGCGTATTCAGTGCAATGAGTGAACTTAAACAACCAGTAAGAAGAAAACACAGAAAATAGTGAATCGTAATATCTAGTGTCAATCATGTAAAACGTAGGATAGTCAAAGGAAGCCATTATTGAATAACTACGTTGGTTGACTTGAGTTGAATTGTATCAGAGCCATATAAAATTCATGTTTTTACAAAATATAATTGATCAGTACACATTGTACATTAATGTGGATTTTCAAACTACAATAAATCAACTGTTTAATCCTTTCTAATATTCAATGTTATTCATTAGAATAGTTAATAAAGTAAACAGTAGACTAGTCAATTGTTAGCTAGATATATATTACTTTCTCATCAGATGAAAAATGTTAACATAAATTAGAAAAACGGTGCAAATGGAGAAAACAAACAACCCTGACTGTTATTCACTTGAAAGGGTCAATATTTTTTGTCAGTTTACATGTGTAAAAAACCCATTGTCCACTACGAATATTAAGTTTTGATAATTTAACCTTTTTTAATGGTTAGTTTTTACTTCTTCCTCAAAGTGATCTTTTCCGTTCCTTTTTCATTCCTAGTTGAATAAAAAGCATGCATCGGAATTTTGTGAATTATTTATGATACTACTACTTTTACTATTCAGTAGATCTACTATTACTGTTTAATTATTCATAATAATGATCATTCCTCGCTATTTTTTCTTGTTTGTGCTATCGATAAACGTAATAAATTCATTTCTGATAGTGAAATATGTTTACGGTTATGCGTTTTTTTAAAACCTTTAAAATAATGGTGAATTAATGTTTGCACAAAACTTTTAGGTAAATCATGCAACTACACGAGTTCTTACAAAGAAGCGTACTGATAATGCAATCTCAGCTGGAGGAAATAAAGGTAACTTAATAGATAGTGATGAACTTATTAATTCTTTCTCTAGTACTGATTTGTGAGACATATGTTAAAACCTAGTAGTAGTTACTACTTTAGATGGTGGTTGGAGGTAGTCAACAGGAAACCCTGGACCCGGGTTTCATGCTACTTGGCACTCGTCAGCAAAGTGTACCTGTAATCTTGAGGGAACTGATGCTCCCTGGCGGATTCGATCTCGTGTCACCCAGCTTCACAGTCAGAGACGTTACCACTGAGCTATCCGAGCCGTGACTAACCTCCTGTAGGACTGAGATGTAATCATAATTGATTGATCACTGGGTGGTGATCAATGTCATGCTTGTCTAGTCCTTATTAGTGCAGATCGGATGCTATCGATCATGTTGAAATGTGGCCACCAGTCTAGGTGACTCGACACTGCGGGCACTATGTATTGAGATAAAAAGGTGTACCTGTAATACATAGTGCCCGCAGTGTCGAGTCACCTAGACCGGTGGCCACATTGCAACATGATCGATAGCATTCGATCTGCACTAATAAGGACTAGACAAGCATGACATTGATCACCACCCAGTGATCAATCAATTGTGATTACATCTCAGTCCTACAGGAGGTTAGTCACGGCTCGGATAGCTCAGTGGTAACGTCTCTGACTGTGAAGCTGGGTGACACGAGATCGAATCCGCCAGGGAGCATCAGTTCCCTCAAGATTACAGGTACACTTTGCTGACGAGTGCCAAGTAGCACGAAACCCGGGTCCAGGGTTTCCTGTTGACTACCTCCAACCACCATCTAAATCTCAATACATAGTGCCCGCAGTGTCGAGTCACCTAGACCGGTGGCCACATTGCAACATGATCGATAGCATTCGATCTGCACTAATAAGGACTAGACAAGCATGACATTAATCACCACCCAGTGATCAATCAATTGTGAGTAGTTACTACTTTTTGTTTTTCAATCTAAAGACATTCATGAAGAGTACATTCCTGTGGTACTATAGTTATCATGTTCAGTGTAATCTTACAACGTTTAATAACTATTTATATAGTGATTCCCGTTTTACTGGGTTAATATTTAATCTGATGAATGTCTTTTTTAATTAGCTGATTTCATTTGTTATAACTTTGGATTAGTGAAAGCTCATGTTGATCGGCTTGCTATAACTATAAATCAACAACTGAGCAACGTAGGCAGCCTAGTGATTTAAAGACAAACTCACTTCGTGAATGTTCACTTTTGAAGAGTACAAAAATGAGGTAAATAACTGCTCAGTACTCCATGGTTTCTACGATTGTCCAGCTGATACTAGTTCATATCAAAATGTCCATCAAATTCGTGCTTGCCACTCTAGTGGGTAGGTATTTAAATAAACTTGACCAAAAATACGGGAAATGTGTTTAGTATTATCCATATTGAATGATATATAATTTTAATGCAGTATACGAATGTCCGTTAAATTGGATATACATACATTTTGTCTAGTCACTTGAATCAGGTCATTCAATCTTCAATACACGATATTCCCATTATTGCCTATTGAAAGTCAACTTATTTGTATTTATTTGAACACATAAATATTGGTACAAGGAGGCACCAAATATATATGCGCCACACAAAACAATGGGAATGGGAAGATAAAAAAAGGGAGGTAAGGGGCGTAAAAGAAAAAAAAGAAGAACAATAACGACCAGATTAGTGTAATAATAATAATAATAATAATAATAATAATAATAATAATAATAATAATAATAATAATAATAATAATAATAATAATAATGGGGGAGACGGAGAGGTACAACCAAAAGGAATCTTTCATTTAAGGAAGATACAACCACCTCTTTTATGAAGAAAGTAAAAGAAGGTTACAGCAGGATCGCCACTGGCTTCTATTCTGAGCCATATCTGATAACGTCTCTAGCCACTGTGTCGCACCATCTCTTAGACCGCATCCAGGGAGTTGTGAAGGACCAACACAAGCCAGCCCTTTGCAGCTTTCTTTCATACCCCGGCACCATGTCATACACTGACCACCTCGAAAGTATGAATATACATATTTGATAGATCGTTAAGGTGACATTTTGAACAATATATCTCTTTCATTGAAGTTATTTCTTGTTGGATTTGTGAATAAATTGAATTTAACTAAACCCATCTTCATCGCCTTTTTTGAAAATAAATAAGTGTGATCTACCGTAGTAATTTCTTTCGATCTATCTCGTTTTGACGTCGTATTTTGACCATTCATATTGGTCATCTTATATTGTATTATAACTACCACAGATATAATCCATGACTAGATTGAGTGTAAAGAGAGGTAAGAAGTTCTGTATCTTCAAGTGTCCATTGTTGTTCATTGAGACTGGTTATATTAACTTTTTCTGGCTGTGATTTGGTTGGTGTCAATAATTATCCAACATTATTTGGAGATTCACTAAAAACCGTTGAGCACTAGACAGATATTCCATCCTAGCTTTAAATTTGTGATCAGTGTGGGTTCAAGACCCTACATGAAATATGATTTAGAACGTTCAGGTCTTGTGCCGAGCATGATATTTCAAGACAACCGATTTGGAGTTCAGTGGTACCCACATTTTTTACTTGAATCGACTCGCAAAACTATTATCCTATGTCAGCGGCAATATCTATCGAACTTCCATCGTGATTAATATCCTTACGCTTCCCATTTGATTGATATTAGGTTTGTAAGGTAAGATGTCAGTATTCAATTTTCCTACCCATTCAAGTGAAGTAAGAATATAAGGATACCAAACAAAGAAATTGTTTGAAAAGATTCGAAACATATTCTTGATTACTTATCTTTTTGATTGTACCTAAATATTTCTATTCAATATAAAAATTTCAATTGTTTTTAAAAAATGAAAACTCTTCAGCTTCTAACTTTAACAACCAAAATATTGGATTGAATAATTACACTAGTACTTTGGCTTCCAGACCACGGATTACTGGGACATCTGTAGGAACTAGTAATAGTGTTGTTGCTGCAGCAATTTCAGCTGCTGCTGCTGTAGCTGCAATGTCAGGTTCAGGAATTGTCAATAATCATACTTTAAATGGACTATGTCATTTACCAAGTTTGCATTCTAGTAATTTATCAGGAAACAATTTAATTTTGAATCAGAATAAGTCATCATTATCGCCGTTAACATCATCTACAATATCTACAGTAACATCGACATCTATTCCATCGTTGTCGTCATCAGTCTCATCATCATCATCTGCAGCTCTAGTTAATCTTCTTAAAGCTCAACATCAACAACAGAATTTAGCGGCAGCTGCTACAGCGGTTGCTTTACAACAACACAATCAATTGAATGGTACTAACAGTCAAAATACTCAAGCTTTACTTGCTGCTCTTATGCTTCAAAATCTCAATACTCCCAATCAACTTATCAAACAATCTTTAAGTAGCCTGTAAGTTTATGTATATATAGTTAAATAAAACGTTTTAATAACTAGGTGGACTAATTGTGTTTTAATTGATGTTTTTCCATCTATTTTAACTGTTTACCATTGGAGGAATTGACTAGCTAAAGGTTAAATACCTCTGATAGGCTATACAATGGTTTTGTTTTGTATACAGTGAGTTATATATTATCGTAAGAAATCAGTTATAATTATCTTTATGGAATTAAGTGAGCATTTTAAGTATGGCTTATGCAGATGAAAATGAATTGTGATTGGTAAAAATAGTTTGTTTTATACATCGGAATTTATGAAAGTTATGCTGAATTCTTTTGTAATATCAAAATAACATTGAATTATGATGTATTTCCATGACAATTATGATATTGAATAACAACTAGATACACTACAGTATTTGTATAGGATCTTGCATACTTAATTACGCCTGTTATCCCTCACGAAGGAGCATGGGTCGCCTACCAGCATTCTCCATTCAACTCTGTCCTGGATAACCCTTTCCAATTGCTGTTCATCCTTTTGATATCTGCTTCCAATTCTCGTTGCAGTGTGTTCTTTGGCCTTCCTCGTTTACGTTTACTTCACGATTCCAAGTTAGCACTTGCCTCGTGACGCAGTTTGATGATTTCCGCAATCTATCTCCTATCCACCTCCAGTCCTTTCTTAATTTTACTCTTCAGCTGGTAGCTGGTTTGTTTTCTACCACAGTAGGCTGTTGCTGATGGTATTCGGTCAACAGACATTCGGTATCTTGTGTGAATAATTGTTTACAAACACTTGTACGCTTTTGATGATGGTTTTAGTAGTTCTCCAAGTTTCGTATCTGTACAATAGAACTGTCTTGGCGTCCGTATTGAAGATTCTAACTTTAATGTCGATTGACAGTTGGTTTGAGTTCCATAGATTCTTCAACTATAGGAATGCTGACCTTGCTTTTCCGCCTGTAGCTCTTCTAGGACTACTACCTGTCCCAAGCACTGGTAAAGGAAGAGGGTTGGACGTGGGATCAGCATCCCCATCCCGTAGAAAACAACCTTGCTAAAAAACGCTAACCAAAATAAATAAATAATTTGTGTAGGATCATTTTCCTATATCTCCCCTAGTTGATCGATGGTTAAATTTCATGAACGAAAGGACATGTGTACTTCCGTTTTAACATTTATAACTATGATCTGACTTTTCACTTAATTGAAAAATGGAACGACTGAGTCTTCATAAGCACAAAAACATAATTTCAACGCTTATCTTCTATTGTGATAAAGCCCTCATACTTAACACCATTAATTTTTTTTTGCTTTAACTACATTCGAAATGTCTTCACTAACTCATTTAGTTATGGATTAATACCTACATTGACAATCAGTAATCTACAGTTGTTTTGAAGCGTAAGAGTAAACTGAACTAGCAAATCAAAATTTGTTCTTGTTGTGAATGGGTTACAGATTCGATAATTAACTATTGGATCATAGATTCAAACTTTATCTTACAGACTTCAGCTTGTTGGTTTGTTTGGTGCAAAATTACAATGTATTCGTAAATTATGAAAACCATAAATCAAATACTTCATTTGTGCATCTTCTATCAGTTGTCTCTTACATTCTTCATAATCCTCCCAATTTTGTTTTTATTCCAATTCCTTTCTGTTTTCCTTTCGGTTCTCTTTAGTTCAATCTTCTCAATCCTCTTTTGACTGGGATTCCACTTGTGTTCGGTGCTAGATACTCATTATATCTGTCAAGATTGATAGCATACACCACACATATACTCATCCTTAGTTATGAAATCCCATTTATTTTTTTAAAGAATAATAATAAAATATATTCTCTTTCCGTGACTGTTAAATTTGCATAACTTACGGTTTTCAGTTAATATCCCTAATACATATGAAATATAGATTTTAGATTTCAGTTGAGTATTTTAAAAAAATTTTCTGTTAATGCAAACATCTTATATAAACAAAGTTGAATTCACGAGTCAATCTAATCTAGACCAGCATTGAAAACCTGGAAGCACTGATCGGCCGTTTCTTCCTATTATGGGACTCCTCAGCAGTGCACATCCACGGAACGGCCGTCTAGTACTTCCAAGTTTTCTATGGTGGTCTAGCTTTGATTGACTCATGAATTCAACTATTTAATTTATTATTTCTTATTAAATTATAGGATATCTTCGTGAAATATAAGAACCATACGTTAAATACTTCTGTTTGCCAATCTTCAATCATTGTGCTTCACATTCAGTATGATTTTTCCGATTCACAATTCCTTTCTATTTCCCTTTCTGTTTAATTTAACTCGATCTTCTTCGCCTTCTGCTGCCATGCATCCCACTTCTGATTGATGTTGCATATTACTTATCTGTCAACATAAGTAGCATACACGTCTTGTAGTTTAAACTTTTATGAGATATTTATAATAAAGTGGAAAATTATTGATACCTAGAGAGAAGTTTCTTAAAATGCAATTGACTTTATTCATTAAATTTTAGTTCGTTTCCATTAGAGAATGTCGTTTCCAATCTCCCAATTCAAACGCAGCCACAACAATCACAGACAACCATGTTCAACAGTAGTAATAGTAATAATAGTAACAATAATGTTAATTATGCTACTAATAATATTGGTACCAACAGTCCTGGTCTAAATCCGCTTACCATACTCGGAATAAATAATCCAAGCATGAATCAATCAAATATTGGCTCTGATCTATTATTAAATCCTCAACATATTCGATCATATCAAATGCTGAAACAAACACTTGGAAATGTAAACCCAATTATTCCAAATAACCTTTCTGTAAGTGAACTTTTAAAATGTCGTACTGTTTTAAAGTAAATATCTACAATACACTTTATATGATATCCCTATAGTTCAAATTTGGCGCCATGAAATAGTTATTGTAAAGAAATCGCATCTAATGTTACTTGAAACGAAAAGAAAAACTATAATCCATTGAAGCTTATAGGTTATAATGCATTTCTTTTATGTCTGGCCTGAAAATATTAAGCTGTGTGTCTTTATTCTGCGCATAAAATAACAATCACATTGATCCTATAAACTAATATTGTATACAATACTGGAGGTAGTTTTATATAACTTAAGTTCAAGACGGCAGGGAGTGTATTTACTGTAAATCATTCCTAAGATTGAGCCTCAAACCTTCAAATCTTGTTACAAATAGTTTCAAACTTCATCGAACTGTATGGCTTATTGATATGTCCACTCAAATTTAAAATTCATTGAGTCCTGGACTCAAATCTTCATGTACTTTGTTTTGAACTGTATGGTAGTAACTTCAACTTTCAATATAACTGTTAATCTATATGCGTTTATTAAATTTCATTGAGTTAACTGAAATCTAAACTACCATCCAGCGCTACTTCTCGTTTCTGCAATTGGTTTCACCTCGTAATAACTTTCCTTATGCCCACCAATTAGTGAGATGAATTAGCTTCATTGAGGCATTTAATTTTTCAAGACAATCTAACATTTTATACAAATTTCGATAGTATAATGAGTTGACGGAGTTGGCCTGAAAATGTGCACAATATACACCTGTTCTATCACTTGCAACTCATATGGCTCAAAGTTGAGTAGCATTTCTTATCCTATCCTGAAAATAAGGTTTATATCATGATATTATATATAGAAGGAGAGTCAGGCAATATAGCTTTAAAACAGCCATCAAGGAGATATTCTATGCTGTCAAGCTGTTCGTCACATAGTACAAAACCTATGACTCCATAAAGACTTTAACGTCGTATCAGAGATTATCTCATACCCTATCACGTTTGTTAGTTCACATCTACATTGTCAATGTACGTGGTGAGGAATAATCGAATTATGTCTGTGAAAATGATTTCAGACTGAGTAACGCAATCTCAGATATAAGCTCAGAAAATAGGCAGCCATACTCTTCTACAAATCTTTATGCAAAAACAATTAAGATTTCATTCTTAGGTTTATGAAAATCCTCTAGTCATCAGATAGTTTCAGTTAATTTTATGCACCCGAAAACAATATTTTTCGCACTTTGAACCTGCTGTTTATTTTATTGTCAAGATATTTTAATGTTTGGTAAATTGATCATATTGTGCTGCACACTTCAATAAAACGGGATTTTCAACATGACAAAGTTGTTATCTATAATTGATATTCATTAATTATTTGATACCGTATTACGCTTCATACTATGAATAAATTCTTCATTGTTTATTGCATTGGATTACACTGTATTTTTTGTGGCATAAAGTACCTGATAGCTTTAAGGAAAAGTAACCAAGGTTCATTTTTTGATTGTTGAAACGCATTTAAACTGATCACCACTTTGGTGGGACAATCTATAGAGTGTTGTATCAAAACACCCAACTGACTAGATTAAATTGAAAATATCCATTACCATGTGTGGATAAAACTCAAAATCCTGTATCAGCATTGTGTACATTGTCTTTCTATTTATTTATACATATTTATGGTCTGAATAGAATGTCTTTAGAGAGAGATGTCGCAAATATTTATTACGGTTGACAGTTGGTTTTTAATAGTTGTTACATATTTGTTTCAGGGAGAACTATCGTGTCTAGATACCACTTAAATTCTGTGGCTAATCATAGCTTTGTAACTTAGTCGTTGCGGAAGTGGAAGTTTTTTTATTTTTTAGAAATTTTGATTGTACGTAGTGTTATAAATGTGAATGTGATACACTACTACTGTACTGACTAGGTATCCCCATTTTTTATTCTGGATGAATACCAGTTATACTTTTATAACCTCCTGGGAAAGATTATAAAATCATTTTTAATAAGCAAAACTGATAAACAATCATGAGAGGATAGCATATTGTCTCATGGAGACTATTTTTTTCCCCTATCTATTGTGTTCCTACTCATAAGTATCATATACAATCTAGTTAATAGTTATTATTGTCTAACTTTTTTTAAAAATTGTTCTCTTTAAATAGCTTGCTACTGCTCCATTCTTAGCTTCAAATCTAAATTTTCCCACACCACAAATTGCTTTACCGCTAATAAATCATTCTAATAATGGACAAAATTTAAATCTTTTCACATCATCTTCATCACCATCATCATCAACACCAACATCTATTGGATCATCGATACAATTGGGAACAAATTTAGATTTAAATTCAAATGAAACTAAATTGTGGTTAGCTTCATTGATTGGTAATAGTAATAGTTGTATACAATCAGATTTAGGCATAGCTAATAATAATTTAACGAATCAAATTTATCAAATGTATAAATCTAATGCAAATTTAAATGATACTACTAATACTACTACTACTAATAATAATAATAATAATAATAATAGTAATACATTATTGAAAGTTAATTCTTTGTCAAAGACACAATTGAATATCAATGAAAATAAAACTAGTTCATCAAATACATTGACAGATACTACAAATACTGGTATTTCACAAATTCATGATAATCGAAATAAAAATAACGAACATACTTTAACGTAAGTGAATATGAATTTTAACTTTTTTTTCATTTTGTCTATCAATATCTATCGAGCACTAGTTGGAAAACCCAGTAATTTATTCGATTGATATTACAGTGACTTCTTGTTTGCGGGACATAGATTGGATTAAATCATGCTAAATGCACGCTTGCGTTGGCGCACGCTGATTGGATAAGAATTAACCAATCAGTGCTAGTCAATACTTAGTGAAGATTCCAGAAATCTCATGTGAAAAAACTATAAATATACCAACGTTTTTCCCTATTGGGCTTCTCATTTCCATCTAACCTAGTTATTTGGAATACAATCTCTTTCCTGTGCAACCGTGTTCTGATTTGTGGACTTGTGGAGTGAACTGGTGTCCGAGAATACTAGCCATAGGAATAGCTGGGTCATACCGCAAGAAAGATATTGTAACAATTCTTGTTAATCTTGAAACTGTAGTCAACCAAATACAATTTTGTATTAGCCAAAAAAAAGTCATTTATTGGAATCATGGTCATATAAATAGTGTGATAGTTCTGTGTGTTCAGTTTTAAGATTATTTGAATGGATACGGTACAGTAGTAATTCCAGTTTAGTATACCAGTTATTTATCTCTCTAATTCTCCACAGTTGTTTTACATACATTGACTTGTATAAGAGATCAAATTTGTTTGTTTCATACTTTTTAATATGAGATTAGATTTTTTCAAAGATAGTGAACCCAGAAAAGTTAGTCTACTTGATCTGAATATTTTTTGTAAGTTTTAAAAAGGTTGTTTTAAGTTGAGTTTTCTTCATTCAGTGTCTTCTGCGTGATTGAATGGATTTAATAGGTATAATTTCTAATGGTTTATCTAGAGGTTGAAGGCTATAGGTTTCTGATCATAGATACCTTTAAAGTATTACTCGCGAATAGTGAAATGATCGAATGTGCAATGTTTGAGGCTAAGCGCAGGGTACTGGGTAAATATGATAAATCGCTTGATGAGGTTGTAAATATCCACTGAGGTGTTTAGAAAATGTGTCGCGTATCCTCAACCACCTCCTACCAAAACAAGCGATGTTAGTTGGTGCAGAAGTAGGTCAGAATGTAATTCAGTGTGTTCAAACCAAACACATGACATCAGTTCATAAAATCAGCTGTTGTTGGTCTGAGCCATGCTGGTAGATAAAGACTACTTGATTGAGATTCACACGATAATCACGATCAATAGTTGAAAACGTTGTAGGCGCTGACTCATAGTCGATCACAGTAACATGCATAAATCAACTCTTTATTTTCTTCTGAATCTTTAGCTCCCGACTATTGCTGCTATCTTGATGTGGCGGTCGGGCTTCCCTATCGTGATGAACCAGTCGAGCTATACTGACTGGAACAATCGTTCCTCATGGTCTTACCATGCCAGGCAGGTCGGTTGAAGAGCGGTAAGACTAGAAACAGCGAACACAATGTCCGAGGGCGAAGTTGCACTGCTGACTGTACGGAGCTGTGACGGCACTAAGATATTTCCCTCAGACAACCAGCATGACAGCGATGCTGTCTTGCCACAAAGGAGGGGTGAGGTTAGAAAAGGTTGACCCTAATAATGTACACCTCATCTTATTCCACTGAAATCCGTCTCTGGCGATAAGGTCCCAATAAGAACGGTGCTAACACGAAAACTATTCACAAAAAGGTTGTCTGTGACCGACCTCAAGTAGTTGTCCCTTGAACACTGCGGTCACACACTCAGGTCAACTAGTTTAGCTCCAGCCCAATTTCCTTTTCAGGTACCCCCAGAAGAACCCTTCCACAAAGTGGGCAACCGGGAAGTGATAACCACCCTCATACCTCCAACAGCGCTCAAGATCACTGTATTCATAATCAATCTCCTTCTTCAATTCCTGTTATTCCTCCTACGTCAACTTCCAATTCTAAACTTCCTCTTTGAACTTCGTCCTCATGTGTTATCATGACCGACGATCATACTACGGGAAACACTGTTCCCAGGTCTATTGAAACCTCGCTTGAAGCTACACATTGTGGCCTTCAACGTACACACCTTATGTCAAACCGGCCAACAGGCCTCCTTGGCTAAAACCCTAGAATCTCGTACCATTGATGTATACTGTGTCTCCAAAACAGGCATACAGGATCCTAGTGCGGTCTTTCACTTGACCTCACCTCGGCAGAACGGAGAGCCGACGAGATGCACTCTCCGTTTATCTGGCGACCCGATGGCTAGTTCTCGTGGACTGGCAGGTGTAGGCATAGCACTAAGTACGCGGGCATAACAAGCACTATTAGAATGGATTCCCGTTAACAGTTGCCTATGTGCTGTTCGGCTAAATGGCTTCGTAAGAGTTCAGAAGGATAGGGACACACGTTGCCCTTCCGTCGTTTCTGCCTACGCTCCCACTGACTGCAGCCCAGATGAAGTGAAAGTTGACTTTTACAGAAAGCTTTCTGAACTTCTTCATAAAGATAAACACTCAGACATAGTACTCGTAGCAGGTGACTTTAATGCCCAAACAGAAAGGCATTTAGTTTGGTATTTTAGTATCGCGACTCAGTGAACAGATAATAGTGATTGTCTGCTGCAACTGTGCTCAGACAATTGTTTATTTCTAACAAGCACTAATATTAAGCATAAGGAGACATTGCCTAACATGGCGACCCCCTGCGTCAAACCACTGATGTACTCGAATAGACCATATTACTATCAGTCATCGTTAGAGAAGCTTGCCTGATAGAAGACTATCACTCGTTCTAAAGTACATGTTTAGACTCTAATCATGCTTCTAATAGTAGCACGCATTTGATTGTGCCTCACTGGACGCAGAAAAGCCACATTGAGAACACCGATTTTAGTTGAACTAGGTGATGGGAAAGCCAAAAGTAGATTCCAGGAACAACTGAAGTCACACTTGGACAATTTTGAAAACGAGGCTGATCCAGATTTTGCCTGGAATGATATGCGGACAGCTGTGTAAATTGCAACGATATCTATTGCACTGATATATTTTCGTAAACTTATCCCATCAGACTCCAAACACGATGAAGAGCGGAAAAAAGTCAAATCTAGGTTAACCAAAAGTTTACGGAACGATCGTGAGCAGTGGTGAGTAACGAAGGCGAAAGAGCAGAGACTGTAGATAACACAAGACAGCTTTTCAGATCAATAAAAGAAACTGGAATAAGAAATCAAGTGTGAGACAATCTTGGAAAAGGACTTCACTCTTATATACTCTAAGTCTAGACGTTTAAAACGATGGGCGGAACACTATTAGGAGCAGTTCCGCTGGCGTTCAGCTACCCACCATTTCCGAACAGCCTGAATGGAACATTGAAATAGGTTCCCCCGACTCTAATTGAAGTTCAAAATGCTATAGCTAATCTGCACCAAGAAAGAACAGCTGGTCCAGTTTTAGAGATTAGGTTGACTAATATTTTAGCTGAAATCTGGGAGTTATGTGTAATCTCATCTGACTAGTCGCCATCCTTGATCGTCTCAATATATGAGAACGAATCAAAACCATCCTGCGATAACCATAGAGGGATTAGTTTAACTAATATAGCACCTAAAATACTGTTCTCGATAACTATCGGGAGCCTAACAAAGACTCGTGAACTGCAAACACGAGGAAATCAGGCTGGCTTCTGACCTGGCCGTGGATGCATCGACCACGTATTCGCCATTCATCAGGTTTTATAACACAGGCATGTTTACCAGCGTCCGACAATTATGGTTTTTCTTGACTTAAAAGCAGCATTTGACTCTATAGACCGAGAGGTAGGTGCTGTGGCAGTGTTTATCATTGAAAGGCGTACCTCAGAAGTGCATAAACCTTGTGAAGGCTCTTTACTCGAACACTACTAGTCAAGTCAGAGCTTATGGCGAACTGTCATCTGCTTTTGTAACCTCAAGTGGTGTTCGTCAAGGCTAACCACTATCTCCATATCTGTTCAACTTCATCATAGACCTACTGATAGAAATAACATTCTCGTCTACTGAATGTTCGGGTATTGATCTCCTTCCAGGAGGTCCACTTATCGACTTAGAATACGCAGATGACATAGTCCTGTTTGGTGAATACGCTGATACAATGCAGAGTCTTCTGGTAAATCAGTTGATAAGTTTGCGAATCTTCTCCGATTGAGATGGTTGGGCCACGTATTACACATGCCAAACCACTGAATACCACAGCGCGCATAAATATATATATATATATATGTAGTTTCGAGCGCTACCTACTGTGCTGTTTCTCCGGTGGGTTTATTTATTCTGTGAAGAGTGAACATGCGCCAATTTACTGAACGTCAGAAAGTCAATCTTCTCATCGCGACTATTTTAGTGAGGCGAATATTGTAAGATTTTGGACTTTTTTTAGGATTATTATCAATATTATTACAAATATATCATTATGCTTTCACGATTGGTAGTTCTTCTCAAGTGAACAATATTCACACTAAACTCGATCAAGAACCACTTACTTGGGTAAAGAGAAATTTGATTTTTATTACCATCGTCTTATCTGCTTATTTTTGTTGTTTTTTTTCTAAAGACAAAGTCTTTCCAATTCAATTAACACTACAAAGAGTAGCGTTTCAAACTTAACGAATGTTTTTTCAACACCTGGAAACACACTTACAGATGCTAATAATCTAGTCAATGTTGCTGTATCCTCTTTGAATCCATTCAATTTTGGATTAACTCCATTAACTGCAATTCCTTATAATCTTAATTCATATCTAAATGGTACTGCTGCTGGTGTATTGACTGATTTGTTTAACAGTGTTCCAATACAACAACAAACATCATCTCTATCAAATAATTCCGCTTTATCTGGATTTGGTTCAGCCAATTGTTTTTGGCCAATCATTCCATCTGTATCCAATCTTACTGTTCCTGCTCCTAGTTTAACTACACCATTGGTGATTGGAAGTCAAAATCTTTACCGTAATAGTGCTACTACCATACCTCGTTTCTCTACTTACTGATGTTTACACGAATCTCTCCCCATATATATATATATATATATATATATATATATATATATATATATATATATATATATATATATGCGTGTGCATTTAAACATTCCGCCATTGAAAGTTAAGTATCTTCTTATTTTGGTGAACATTTAAAATTCTTGATTTTGTTTTTCTTTCTCACTAAACATATTGGGTAGATAATTTTATTTTTTAAATATTTCCGCTTGTATATTTCAAGATAATAATTATCTCATATTTTATCTTTCTAGTCATTAGCCATGATAAAATAACCATTTAACATGTTATGTAATTAATTGATTGATTGACTGATTGTTTGTTTGTGATAAATTTCTTTTGATTTCCTATTTATCCAAAAAAAATTGAAAAAAAATTGTTGTCTTTTATTCTTCTCTTTAATTATTATTTAAGAAATTTTCATACTTTCAATTTCTTTATTTAATTTTAATATAAATTTATTGATTTACTTATTTAATTGTTAATTATTTAATAAAAATGATTAAATTCTTAATTAAAATAAACTAAAATGAAAAAGTAATTTGTTTTATTTAAACTTTATTGTTGTTTATTTATATTATTTGTGATGAATTAATGGCTGATCAGTATTATCATTAACAAGATATAATATACATTGATGTATAATATAATTGACAACTTTTTGTCCTGTTCTAATATTATTTTAAATTTAGTTACTTAGAATATATATATATATATAATCTCGTTTAAGCTGACCTGAGAGTTTGAAGGTCCATTGAAGACTTAAGAAAAGAGAGCGAAACTGGTAAGGTTGCAGATCACCGCCTAGTAATGAACAAACTGAAACAGGTCAAACAAATATTGAACGATCTGAGGCGCAGCATTACAAAGTTTGATACACCTTTTCTTTGAAATATTAACAATCTCAGTTCAATATAGGTCTAAGCATTAGATTTAGTAGAACAGGAAGTATCTATGAATAACAACTAGGAGTAAATCAAATAAATATGCTCAAAGGTTATGAGCCTTCAGAAATACCAGAACAAGGAATGTATCTGTACGAAATTTTGGGGTGATTTAAGAAAGATAAACCAAAAGAAAGAAATGAACAACAGCATGAAACGTGAAGGCACAGGTGAATATACGGGAGAAAACAAACGAATGAAGATCATTAGGATTGAAAGGCGGGAATACGCATAATACCTAGCGACAACAACGCAGAAAGGAAGACGAAAGAAGTATAGGGTACAACGAAGGGGCTAGTAGGTAAGTCTAGGAGACCAGAGGGACCAGTAAGGAACGAAGGAGGCGAACCAATCACTGAAGTTAGAGAACAGCAAAAGAGGTGGTTACAGTAATTCAAAGAGCTCTTGCACAGTATTACACCACTGAGCCCACCGGACATCGAGGCAATATACACAGACCTTCTTACAAGTGTTACCACTCCAAGAAGTCAGCTGACAAACGAGTGGGGAAGCAGCAGGGCCTGGTAGCATACCTGCTGAAACCGTACATAGAGGTGACTGTATAGGTGCTCCACTTTCTCTTCATAAAGATTTAGGGGGAAGAATAAGTTCTGATAGACCGGTACGAGGGATACCGTAACGGGAGGAACTGAAACTAATGTGACAGCAGTTCGAAAAATATCAGCCGAAAACTCGATGTATAAGAACTAACCTCAGGTTCTCTGTTAGAAAAGAAGCATCTGATTTTATGGAACCATGTCAGTTTTCCTCCCATTTCGCTAACATCATATCCTTCTATCTCAGTTATGATAACTGCATGACATCGGTATCATGAGTTTAAAATGTATTTATAAGGGGTCTGGAAAATGCGTTGACTTCCTTGTTACGCTACATAGGTATGGCTTCTTTATTTAACATTCCTGAATTATTTTCGTTGTGTACAGTGAAGCGAAGAAGCTATGACAAACAATGGAAGCTATTTTTGTGTAAATTATTTCACTTGATTCAGATGTTGTAAATTTCAAACATTTAGTATTGACCGTAGGTTATTTTATAAATTATAAGCTCCCATTTGATGTATGATTCACTGGTATATCTTTTCTGTTCCGAAGCCATTGTGATTTAAAAGTAACCTTCTGTACTCTATGTTTCTACCCTAGTGTCTAGTTTGAACATGATTGCACTTTTTACATTTTTGTGCATGCTGATTGTGTTTGTCATCTATTTGTTCATGCATCATTTTGTACTAATCTGAATAGGAAATCAAGAATAAGTCCAGTGGTATTACAGTTGACTCATCTTCTCTCTCGATTGTCGACCGATCAGGTAATAGAATAGTTTCCGTTTCCCCAAGGCCGTTAGTACTAGTTCACACTCATACATTTCTAGCTTCAAGGTTGAGCCGGTTGGCCTATTGTTTCTCAGTGTCCTAAATCAAATCGAGACAAGTTCTTCCCTGTATATTAGTGGGTAGACAGGTCAACTATGCAATGGATTCGAACCCCTAATTTACTTCCCATAACAAGCAAATACAACTCCCTCTTTTAGGGAGTGGTTGATAGTTTCAGCGTAACAGCAGTTTGAAGAGTGACATATATTCTTGTGTAGATACGATTTGTAACCTATTGAGCACTCATCGGTTGACCTAGAAGTTGTAAAGACTTTTACGAATACTCAGTTCTTACGATTAGCGATTATTCCATGTTCGCCCGACAGACTCATTATGTTTTGTTTGTTCGTCGGGTACGATCAAACCATTAGCATATACATAAAAAATATAATAAATAACAGAAAACGTAACCAGATATGCGTTAGGGTGTTGACATAGTGTCTACCAGTTCGAACAGAATATATTGACACACATATTTCGGTTATGATAGATTACCATTGATGGTTTCTAACACTGTTCGAACCGGAATCACATACTACGGCGGAGAGACAGCCTCATTAGGGTTTAAGTTTTGGTCATTCAGAGGGAACAACGGTGCCCCTGTTCCTCATTTCAACGATCAGGTTAGGTTCGACACATTTGTCAGTTATTTGGGACAATCAGTTTGGAGGTAGACCATTTCTAACAGCTGTCTATTGTCTCGAAATCTCTCTAAACCTCCCTATTTCAAACGATTAACTTATGAACGGAGATAATCAACTTCTTAATAGTGTTATTTTCAACCGTATTAAACACATCGCAAGACTTTTAGTGGGGTAATAATCCACCAGTGTATTGTACTTTTTACAGATTTGTGTGAATCTCAGTGTGAATAAGTTCATATATGTTAACCCTTGTTTGTTGTCTTTCACTCCTAACTCACTGATCTTAACTCAAAGGCTAAGTTCCATGTTCTCCCACTCTCTACGCTCAGCCTATCTATTCACTTTCACTTTCTCTCTGATAACTAGTGCGGATAAAATCTACACGTCCACAGTATTGTCTGTATTCGGCGCTTTATTGTCCGTTGCTAATGACGAGATCAGTCGAGAGGATACATATGAGATTGAACAGGATCTGTATTAAATCATCATTATCATTATCAATGTGAGTAGGAAATGAGGTTACCAGACTTATTGTGGTATGCATAAATAGTGAGATCATCATATGTAGAAGAAGTTCTCAATGTTTTGTCATGCAGTTTAATTGGATAGCATCTGTGTGGCCGTTTATGCAGTTGCAGAGCTATTAAATCCTTGACATCCAGTTTATAGGTTGTCTGTTATCAGTTTATATTTAGCACTGACCGATACTGCGTAATCAGGAATGCGGTTGGAGATTCGGCCAATTCGTTTCTATTCACGTCGATAGATTTAATAAAGCACCACAAACGCGCCAGTGTATTTCATCAGACAAGCTGGAACTAGTGTGACCTCGTTTTGTGATTAACAGGAGAATGTTTATCCTGACATGTGAACCATAACAAGGATATTTGGAATTAAAATGCGGTTCATTTATTCAGTAATATGGAGAATTTTGAAGAGCTTCTTGTGTTTGCGAAGGCGATCCCGCACTCCAAGAATTCAAAATAAAGACCTATTTACTAATAATTTGGCTTATATCGGCATAACGAGAGGAACCGATTGGCACGAAATATGTACGTTAACGGGAACTGTCATTCAGGGAGAAGATTGTGAGAATGTAATACTTGTGAGGTAATACGCAACAAAATGAAACCAATGGTAGGAAGTTGGAACATAAGAGAAAAATGGGGAAGGTTATATTCTGATGAATGTTAGATTACTGGAAACTGCTGGGAACTATTAATGAACTAATATTTTATATATTCCTATCGTATAACTGTTCAGTAACTATATTATGTATATCGGCATTACTCTTACTATAAGCTTCATTTTGACCTATAGACTATTTTTTATACGATTTGCTGTTCTTAAGTTATGTTCAGTTTATTGATTACAGTCTTTCACGTTCTCAGCCACCTTTTACCTTGATCTTGCGCAAACGTTATTTCCTATTTTATGGTGTGGTATGATCTGTTTGGCTGATACATAAACCAAATATGTGTTATGGACTCAACTGGACGTGCTAGGCGAACAAAGATCAATAAGGAAGCTAAGCTGCTCATACCGGTCGAACGTCATTGGTTTGGCGCAGTGCTAAGATTGAGTAAGTCATATTTCGATTGGCGAATAGATCATATGATAATAAACCGGCCTTAAAGTCACAGTAGGGAACCTATAGGAAATAGAAAAGTAGGAACTCAGACTACGTTGTGGTTTAAAATGTTTTTGTAGACAGTCGCTGATCGCTTCAGATTTTCCAACCGAGTAATTTCGAATCTCATATTGTCTTATCGGGTCATGGCACGAGGCTATCATAAAGCCTGATAAATGCGATATCACTGACATTTGAGTTGCGTTTTAAGGGGTTCGGAAGGGAACTCGGTAGGACGTCCACCTATTTTGATCGTGATGAAAACGAGATATGTATAATATGACAAAAAATGCGATGTAGTGTCGTAACTGGAAAATGTAGAATGTGAGCTACAGAAAGTATTCGAGGACCAGATATTATATGTTAAATGAAAAGGGCGTCAAGTTCGTTGTCTATCTGTAAATTACCTGGCCACAAAACTATGTGATTTTTGGCCTACGATCAAACGCATCCTACATTTGAGATGTTGTAACTAGGATGTTATCTCGG